CTTGATTGTTCTCCGACCCGAGAGACAAGGCGAAGACTAGCTGGCACACCTCCCTCTCTTCCTCCAACTCTGTCGGCTGGCCGGCCGTGAGGCAGGAAGGTCGACGGCCATACTGCGCAAGGGATATGATGGCGAGGTAGAGCAGGACGGAAGGAGCAGGCAACATAAAGGTGTGCCTGCACTGAGATGAAAATAAAGTCATGAGGCGATTGGCTCAGGACACGCTCCCGGAATTCTGGTGAATCTGGCGGCCCTCGTTTCTGGAGCCCATGCGAGACAGCAGGGGATCTTGGACTTCCAGGAAGTTTAAGAATTCTGGGAACACATCTGTTTCAGCACTTCTTGCTACTCTGATCCTCTCGTCTCCTCCTCCACCCACCTCCTCTAGAAGGTCGGCGGCTAGGTCAAATGAGGTAGCGAGAAAGAGCAGGATGGCGCGAGCCAGATTTACTGAGACTCTCGACCCTCCTCCTCCTCCTCCTCCTCCTCCTCCTCCTCCTCCTCCTCCTCCTCCTCCTCTTGCTCTTCCTCTTCCTTCTCACGGAGCCACGACCAAAAGGAGCGCGAAGGAGGCGCAGGGTGGTAAAGCCCCTGCCCTTTGGCAGGGCCCCCGCTGTAGGCTCCGCACCGCCGCCCTGGCCACTGGAACATGGAGCCCCCGCCCCCCCATCGGGCCGGGCGAAAGGGGGGGATAGCAAAGGGGGCGCTTGAGAATCAGCTCACGAAGCCGATTTTCCCGGCGCCTCCCGGCGCCGGAGGCGGTTAGGTATCGAGGAATGGGCCCCGGTGAGGCCGAGACCAGCTGCATGCAGCAAATCTTGTACACCCCCCTGTCCCAATCCCCCGCTTTCGCCCGGCCCGACCCCAGCAGGCAGAGCACGAAAAAGCTGCACAGGCCCGAACAGTCGGAGGCCCGTGGGGCCTTCTGGGATCGGCGCTCGATCCCCTCCCTGGCGCAGGGGAGCGCGGCGCCGCGCCGTGGGCCCAGCAAAGATCTCCCCCCATCCTCCGTGGCGCGCCATGGGCCGTGGGGCTGCGCCGGGAGCGTCGCCAGCAAGGCCGTTGACGTCCTCGGCTGTGGCCAAGTAGCTGCGCGGAGCTCCCGGCTGTTCAGGCCGTGCAGCTTTTTCTTCTTCGGAGGAGGCCAGCACAAACCAGCAGGCCAATCCTCATGCAGTCAACCCGCCTAGGAAGGATGCGCGGTAAGGGTGCAGGGGCCTCGGGCGCCCATGCCGAGGCTCTTCGAGCGGGGCTGGCCACCGAAAGTGGCCGAGGATGGACCGAAGATGACCGAGGAGGCAAGGACGCAGAGGCACCCATGGGAAATCGGTCATTCTTACGATCAGGGTTGGCTGCAAACGCAGGGAGCCCAAGCACTCGGGGGCAGACTGTTGCCAGCCGGGCCGCGGCCGCGCCGACGTCAGGCTGCGCAACCGCCCCCGCGCTCACTGCTCGGCGGGGGCCTGCTTCTTGCGCGGCTCGCGGCGAGCCAAGTCCAGCTCGGAGGGGAAGAGGACCCTGCCGACGGCGGCCATGATTACCTTCGGGCCCGAGGAGGGAGGACCCCCATAAGACAAAGCCAGGACCAGGATACAATCGGGTGAGGAGATCGAGAATCTCTGAGATCCCGCGGCTCTGGCGGTTGTCTCGGGCGCCGCGCCCTTCTCGGAGCGTTCGGGAATGCTCAGAGAGCGCCCCGGAACGCTCTGCAACGGATTCTCCTCGTCATAGCCCCGTCGGATCTCATCTCCTCTCGTTGCCTCCCAACAGAAGAGAAACTGCGAGCCGCATTGGACAGTAGTCGGCCTCTTGGGGCCCTCACCAGGCCATAAAAAAGTCCAAGCGGCTCGATGAGAACACGGGAGCGGGGCAGGAGAAGGAGGAGGAGGAGAAGCAGTGTCACATCTGGAATCAGCGCAACCACGATGACAACGGCAAACGACAGGTAAACGTCGTTGTTCCCGAACATGTCGCCGAAGATCCCTTTCATGTTGGGCTGCATCTTGGGACCAAACAGCACGTAGCTGAAGCAGAATATGGCCAGAAAGAGCATCATGAGCGTGATGAGCGTTGGCAGCCATGTGTGCAGGCCCAACGGGTTCTGAGCGACGAGCATCAGCTTGAAACACACCACGAAGACGACGCACGAGAACGAGGTGACCGAAGAGACCCAGAACTCGGAAGGTGTCTTCTTGTCCAGGTCCGATATGTCTGGCTTGATGAAGATGTTGAACGGGATGAACCAGCAGATGAAGCCGTGGTAGCATGCGATGGCCACCCATTTGGCAAACACCTTCGTGTTGAAGAGCCTGCAGGCAGGTCCGACCTTGTACAGGTGTGGCATGGAGTTGGCATCCTCGTCTGAGATGTCCCTGTCGAGGCCAAGCACCAACAGCATGTGCAACGAGGTGAACACTGGGTTGAAGTTGATGGACAGCCACTCCGGCACGGCCACCATGCCCTTGAACTTGTACTGGAACATCCACACGATGTCCAACATGATGAGCGCGATGTTCTTGTACAAGAAGAAGCACAGGAACGTCGAGACGCGCCGGTAGGCGCGGCGCCCGTGGCACTGCAGCAGCGGCGTCAGGAAGCGGAACTGCGAGATGGCGATGTCGGAGGCCTGCACCGCCTGCGTGCCCTCCTCGCGGAGAGACGCGCGGCCCGAGCCGTGGCGCGGTGCGATGCGGGCACGCATCGACCACCGAGGCCCGGGGGGTCGATCGCAGGGGGCCTCGGTGATTAGGCGTGGACGTGGGCAGACTTCGCAGTGCCCAGCCCGACGACCGGTCCCCCGGCGGCGGTTATCGATGTGTCCTCCCCGCCTCGGAGCTGTGTGGGCTCGAGCTTGTCTGGCGGGGCTGTCCGAACCACGGCAGGATCTCTGGTGGCGCGCGTGGGGCGGCACTCTACAAGAAGGCGATGGGGGGCTCGCAGACGGGGAGAATTCAATGATCGTGCTCGGAGTCAGGGGTCGGAAAAATGATGGGCGTGAGCAATCACATCCGGATGCACTGCACGACACCTTCGGCCGCCTACGGGTGAGGATATCCTCAGTTCTCCCAACCCAATCCTCCCAACCCGATACTTGTCTTCCTGGACGGAAGGAAGGTGGCCTCCTTGGGAGGGGCCCAAGGGCTTCCACAGGACGGGCATCGTGAGAGCCTCCAGGAAGCTTCTGAGGAGGCCCCCGCCCTGAGAGTTAAGCAAAGGAGATCCGCTCGGAATCGGCCTCTGGGCCTCTCCCAGGGTCCACCCTGGCGAGTTGTCCACCCGGGGTCGATCTTTCACGGTCCTGGGGCCCACAAGCGGCCTCATTCAGGCGCCGACAGCATCGATGCTAGATGTTCTTGGTTCGCGTCATGTCCTCCACTGTCGGGTGGCGGCTCTGGTCCTGGCGGCCGTTCGGGACGACTCCGCCACTCCCGGGACGTTGACGGCGAGGCGCAAATGGCTAGAGAGTGCCCAAAAGGCTGGGAAACTACAGAGAGCGGAAACGCCAAAATTAGTGGGTGCCGCCCGCAAGGCTCCGACGTGGCGACTGTCCCCTGAAATCTGGACCACTTTCCCAGGGACCAGATTTCCATGCCGAATCGTTTTTCGACGTTCGCAATGCTCGGCAAGGGCACCCTGGGGCCGAAAATTGCCAAACACCGTCTGTCGCGTTTTTTCGCGACCAGCAGAGGTGGGGGTCGATCCTTCCCGCGGATCGCGATGCCCAGGTGCGCGCCGTAGATCATCGGGACGTCGTTGGCCCCGTCGCCGATCGAAAGGGTGATGGTCTTCGGGTCTTGCTCACGCACGAGCTGGACGAGCTGCAGCTTCTGCGCCGGGCTCAGGCGCGTACAAATACACGAGTTGCTCACCATGCCCAGGTCGTAGATGACCTCTGGCGGCGCGCACAAGTGCGACCCGCACTTCCTCTTGTTTCGAACACAACAAAAACACGGCTCGAGGTGCTTTGGCCATTCTCGGCTTTCGAAGCCCCGCACCTCCTCTCATTGCAAGCCGAAAACAGCTCGGGAGGACAGTCCGGTCCGAGCGAAGGGGCACAGACCTTTGAGGTTCCCCGCTGTTCATGAACGCTGCGTCGGAGCTCCCGGGTGCAAAGGGGGGCGACTTTAAAGCGGGATGGTCGGCCTGACCATATACTCCGTCGTAGACGTAGCCACTTAGTCGGTCTGTCGTATCGCGGGAGCGACAAGGCAAGAGAGAAGAGATGACCGCGTAAACGGCAGGAGGGTAGCATCTCAAGGGTAAAGGGTGGAACCTTTTCTGTATCGATGCTTGGTAGCGTGTCGCGGCGCGACACGGTCATGTGGGCGGCCGGACACTTAGGCCAAAGTGGCCGCGGACAAACGTTCCCTACTTTGCGCCGTTGCCCCTCCTTCAGAATTGGGGGGGAGGAGACGAAGCGTGAGTCCGCGTCCAGCTGAACTGGATGAAGCAACTACAGTACAAGGGAAGGCAGAAGCAAGCGACTTTAGACAGCGGCGGGCTTACCCCGCATCGGATTACTCCGCGGGCGGCTCAGATGTTCTCGTCTGGAATATGTCGGTTGAAGTCATGCTTGAACGATTGTATCCCGCTCGTGAGTTCTAGGAACATATCTCGATCAATGCTCCTCTTGGTGTGGACATATGCGGTTATGGCGCGGGTGTCAGACCACTGCACGCAGTGCACGATACCGCGCTCCATCCTCTGTCGTATCCAACTGACGTGACCCAGGAGGGTGCAGTCAGTCTGCTTCTTCAGGTCTTTGCTGCTTGACAAGGACTTGAATACCGATTCCGCATCAATGGCCAGGGTGGCCTTGATGGTGGAGCCGCCCATCTCAATCATGTGTTTCAACTGAGTGGGTGTCAGCGGCCCTGCATGTAGTTCGCGTAGCGTGGCGATGGTGGGATAGCAGTCCTCCAAGTTGTGGGCTGCTGCTAGCGACTCAGCCGAAAATCTGGAACGGACCTGCAAGCGGTGAGACTTGCAGTGCGCGTCGACAAGATGGACGACAGGCCTACCAGCAGGCGTGTGCCCACGCCGTAGCAAATCTGCCCTGCGAATGCCATACCCATTGAACTCACCATCGGCATCGTCTTTCAAGCGTCAATAGCCAGAGTCGCTGTGCAGGTCTACCTGACCAATTGGTGCCATCGCTTTACAAGCGATCTTCTTTGGGCAGGCCTGTTCTTTCTTGAAGATCGCGTTGGGTCGTTGCGCTTGCATGTTAGTCGATTCTTGGACCCGCTGCAAAGATACAACATACATCATTCGCCATGTTCGCACGCCGCAGCGCCTCTGAGGCGGACGAACATGTCGATGACAATATTTGGCGCCTCGGCCTCAGAACCTGCGCCTTTGAGTTCGTGGTGCTGGATCGGACGGAGTTGTTTTATAAATTCGTCTTGATCAAGAGTAACACTGCCGCCGTTATCCTTGGCGCAACTCCCAGCGCCATTGGTATATGTGTGTTTGATGAATATACATTTCCCACATTTATCTTCAACAAGCTTGACGCATGTGTCAATTGTGTCCTCGGTGCCGGCCATGTTAATAGTATCGTCATGTCTGGCGGTTCGCAAGTTGGTGCTCGTCTCGAACTCCTCGGAACCTGTTCCGTATCGATGTTTGGTGGCGTGTCGTCGCGCGACACGGTCATATGGGCGGCCGCCCGGTTGGGCCAAAATGGCCGCGGACAAAAGCTCGCTACTTCTCGCATACGCCCCTCCTTCAGAGTGGGCGGCCTTCTGAGAAGGCAGAGGTCTCCGTCTGAGAAGGCGGGGGGCTTCTCGAGAGACCTCCCCGGGTTGCGCGAAGACTGCCGAGAAGCCTCTGGGCCCCTCCGACACGACCCTCGCATGAGGTCGGGCATGTCCTCCTGCAGGCGGATTTTGGACAACAAATTCCAGCACGATCCAAGACTACCCAACAATAATCAAAAACATGTTCGAAACATCGTCCCCCGAGTATTGTTTCACTATGTTTGAACATTCCCCCTGTAGAGAGACACGCCCGACTTAACCCTCGCATCCGAAGGAGCCCCGCTCGCGCCCCCCCCCTCCCCACTTACCCCTCCCCAGAACTCCGACGTCGCGACCCCATTCACAAGGTGGACGCCCCTGGGGCTTCGAGCCCGTCCCAGGGCCAACCTCAGCCGCAGCTGGCAACGCTTCCCTCGACAGCGGTGGGAGAAAATGCATCACGTTTCACTTGCGCGCGGAATCACTGAGGTGTAATACAGTCGGGGCGTTGACCTAAGGAACCCCAAATAAGGAACGAGGCCCCTTTTTTCCCATAAGTTGAACTTCGATTTCCTATCGAAAACATAAGGAAAACCTGAGGCAAGCTGTGAAACACTTAAGGAACGCGGAGCCCCTCCCCAACCAAAAGGGTTCCTTCTTCAGGGCCCCGACTGTAGGTGTGATTCAAAGTTGCCCTATCCGCTGCGGTTCTCTTGCCTTCGCGCTATGTTGCCGTAGTGTCTCACGCCCTCCGCCTCCGCCTGCGGAGCGAGGTGCCTCCCTGGGCTCCTCGAACGGACTTGCCTTGACGTTGCTCGACGGCCCCGGGCCCCTTGCCGTCGTGGTCCCTCCACGACGCTGCGCTCGCGGTGGGGGTCTTCAAGCCGCCGAGGCCTTGCGGCACTCCGAGCTCTGCAGCGCGTGCAGGAGAGTCTGGCCGTCGAGGACCACCCCGGTATCGGTCTTGCCCTCCAGCTCCGAGTACGCCTTGAGCAGCCAGTCCTCGGCGTCCTTCCCGTCCTTTGCCTTCACGGCGTAGGCCAGGGTCGTGGAGCTGGTGAAAAGGCTGGCGGACCTCGGGGATCCCGGAACGATGCGGTGGCAGGCCGTGCCACCGTGCGGTGAACTCGGAAACCCCGGAGACACCACTGCACACTCCGTCACCGTCTGGCTCTGGGGCCCGGGAGGCCCCGGCCGTACGTCCCAGGGCCGTGCGGCCACCCCGACCCTCCACCTTTTGCGAAGGGGCCCAGGGACACACCAATGAATAGACACAAATCCCAGGATCCCCCATAGTTTCGCATACTTATTGCTTTTTCCGTCTCTCCCCCCACGTCAGATAACTTCCCATACTTTCCGGAGGATGTTTGGGCCCCCCGGAAGACTTGGCGATGTCGACCGCCGTCTCCGTCTTGTCGCCAGTGAGGACCCACAGGCGGATGCCCATGCTCTTCATGAGGCTGATGGTCTCAGGGACCTGGTCCTGCTCCCGGGACGACTGCATGGAGGGCAGGGGGCGAGGACAACTAACAATAGGAGGGAACAGGGGGGAATAGAGACCAGAACATCCATCTCCATACTAACCACCCCTACACGAGAGATCGTTGCGTTAACGCACCCAGAGAAGGACTCAAACACGCGCAAGGCCGCTTAGAAAAAGCCAATTGTCGGGTCCAGGTGGTTGTTCTTCCCTTGGAGGAAGGAACGGGGAAATAGGAGGAAAGCAGAGGAAGCGGAGGACGATGATAGAGTGATGGGT